AAGACTCAAAACGGAGGACCCAGTATTCAAGGCGAGACAGACAGTGGGATAATAGCTTTTATTTAAAACACAGATGTATTTCAGCAGCTGCAGCGGCTAGGGCGTCTACCTGGCTTAACAGTTCAGCCCGTGTCCTGAGAACAAGGTAAGATCCAGCCTGTCGGCTGCCAACAAGATGCGGTGGGCGACGCCAAGAGTATCCAGACGCTACAGGCCCGGAGAACAGAGAACAAGCAGTAGACCGAAGTCAGGTCAGGAAAACAGATCAGAGCAAGAACAGACAGATTCAGAGGTCCAGGAGTCTAAAGACAGTTCAGGCAAACAGTTCAGAAGGGAACAGGCAGGCTCAGTGGCTAAGAGGAAGAACAGGTCAGGATCAGGTATTCAGAAATCCAATTTTTTTGCGTTGGCGTTCACATTTCCAAATATATGCGACTTGTATGTGATCTCCTGTGTGAACTGTAGTCATATAATGCAAGTGTCCTACAGAAGAGCATGCAATGGCCAGCATGCTCTATGTTTAGGGAAGTAAACATGGATGGTACTGCCGGTGTGCATCTGGCGATCTTTCCCAACCATAAAAACCCAGTCTTTTCAAGATGGTTAAACATAAATAATGCTCTCCGCATCATCGCCCGCCATGGTTGTTGTTTTTCTTGCCGCTTCTTCATAGCAAGACCCAGAATAGTGACATTTGTCGGGTATTAATAGCATTCAGGTCGGATGAATGCGACTTTGTCATTCAAACGCAGGTCGCATTTGAAAAGATCCAATTCGCATCAGATTCAGGACCACATAGCCAAGTGGCCGGGGTCATATTTGAAAAAATGTTATCTGTGTTGTTCAGACTGCCATGAAAAGATTAGATACAGGTTGCATATGGGCCAAAAAATGTGATTTGGGTCACTTCAGGCTGCTGTGTGAACGTAGCCTAAAAATCGTCTCACTACCGGCATGCGAGAACGAGATAACCTGGCCCCCATAACTGGATGCAAGCACTTTAAACAGAGGCCAGGTGGATTAGAGGAGGAGCAATTAAAAACTGGGCAGACAGGTGAATGAAATGAATAATTAAGCCGGTCATCAGCTCCAAGATCATGGCAATGTGAGATTCAAATGTCAAATTGTATGAAGTTCGTAACAGACCATAGATCATGATTTCAGGGTGGAGTCCCTGAGCTAAAACAAGCTTCAGCACCTTGGGTAAATTATGTTTCTTTTACCCTTGCGAATTACAGTCAATTGTAAACATGAAGTTTATTATTAATGTTTTTTTTTTTTTTACTGTCCTGGGAAGTTAATAATCAGACACATTTAATGAGACACCTCATGTCAGATCATCCAGAACTGCTTACATTTTAATGGTCTGCTTGCTCAGTGACTGGATGAGCTGCTTGACAACACCACAACACCACATCAACAACTTTTATTGGCCAGGGAACATTAGCATTGGAAGAAGAACTAGTAGGGCTGGTTAGTGCAGAAAGCAGATTGGCTCTGTGAAGTGAAAGAATGGCTGCTGCTGCAGTTAGAGACACAGATAACGTAACACATGGGGGGGGGGGGGGGGGGATTAAAATCTTGACAGAGTGTCCCAGTCTAATCAGTAGAGATCAGTCCTACATTTCCAAGATACAGTTATAAATTAATATTAGTTCAATAATGTAATTGATTAAAACATTGCGTCTCAGACACACTGCCTACCTCTTCAAGAATAATGGACCTGTCATCTGTATGAACACTGAAATGAATACTCAAGAGAATATTACAAAAATGCTGGTCAGAGAGAGCCACAACATCTTATCTTAACATCAAATAGCTTTGTGTCCTACTTCCTCATCCTCTGCATGTCTGCATAGGGTTAAATATATATGCAAGTCTTCCAAATAAAGTGTGCAGACCAGGCTAAAATGGTGAGCTTGGCATAAAAAAGACCTAACTAAAATAAATATAAGTTTCCTTAAAAAAAAAAAAAAAAAACTTTGTTTTACTTTCAGTTAACTTGTACCTAATAGATGCCAAATTATGTGTTTAAGATGTTTCTGTTTTTATATATAAGGCAAAAGTTTCACTAATATCACTGTTTTAAACAGTGGTGTCAAAAGTACACACTTTTGTTACTAAAGTAGAAGTATAGATGCTGCAGTTTAAAAACACTCTAGTAAATGTTGAAGTATCAACTTGACCTCTTTACTCAAGTAAAAGTGAAAAAGTATGTGCTCCAAACACTACTTAAAGTGTAAAAGTATAAAGGAATCTTTAAAAAACAGCCAGATGGCACGTTATGAATTGAATATGAAGCTCAATTTTTCGACTATTTAGAAAAATTTGTTGAGATAGGGCCAAGGATGAGGGAGGTCTTGTTGGTCTCCATCTCCCGATACACTCTCGCCTGTGTCTGACCTTTCAGACATTTCAACATCTTTTTCTGAATCTGACATTGTAGCATGGCATAGACAATTCACGTTTGCAGCTTGAAGAACACCTGCTTGCTTCTGATGATATCCTTTGGCGTCGGCACAAATTCGACGAATAGATAACCAATGAGTGGTTGCGTTATATGACTCATCCAATTACACTAGTTTTCACTAGATGTGGATGGAGCCAACGATCTGCATTGGATGGCGCACATGACTTGAAATAAATATTTGTAAACATAAAACCGAAGCCAAGAGTAACAAGTAACGTTTGTTTTAAAAATGTAAGGAATAGAAAACCTCTGGTTTTAAATAATCTTTATCTGGTGTCATTGTGTATATAATTTTCTTTTTTGTATTTTCTTAGATAACGAACCAGAGATGATGAATGAGACTTGGTCCTTTAATTTAATGTAAAACATCTCAGATTTTCTTTTTATGTTGCTTTGACTGCAATATTATGGGTTGGTCCAAAGTCATCCTTTGTTAGAAAAAAGTAAAAGACAAACTTGCCAGAAGCAAAACTGAAAGATTTTTACTACAGGAAAGACGCCCGTGACAGGAGGCCACCCTGTGCACTAAAAAGTGTTGCTCTCAATCAAAGGTTCAGCTATGTTTACATCTTTTAACGTGTATGTGTTATGTTCTGTGTGAGAAACAATTTGTTTAAATGTAAAGATGCCTATCCAGGGGACAGGCATAGAATGTATGCAAAGGAAAAATGGGGAGCTTAAAGGAATAGTACACCCAAAACATGATTAGCCTTCATTTTCTACTCACCCCCATGCTGAACAATACCCTGGAGTACTTTTCTGATATCTCAAATGCATCTGGAGATCTGGGAGGCTTCTTGCTGTCTGCTGACATTCAAATAATGGAGGTCTATGGTGACCGAGACAGAAAGGTCCATAAAAGTCCACAAAAAACGTGTCAATATTCCTCCATACTGCTCGTCCAATGTATTCCAAGTGTCCTGAGTGGGTAGCATCCAGAATTTACTCGAAACGAAGTCATTTAGAATGTTTTTAGAGCATAAACAGTAGTGTATAGGATTTCCTGAAAGCGCGCACATGCACGCTCACGACGCTACGGAAGCCGGCAGACCAAACCAGATGAAAGTGCGCATTCAGCGTCTGCTCTGCCAATAATGCAAGCGTAGAAGAAGAAATGTCCTGTTTACCTGTGCAAAGAAAGAAACAACGAAAGAAAAATATCTGAGGACTTCAGTGTTGAGGAAGAGCATGAGTTCTTTGCCGAGCTGAATGCGCACTTTCATCTGGTTTGGTCTGCCGGCTTCCGTAGGGTCGTGATCGTTGTGGACTTTTATGGACCTTTCTGTCTCGGTCACCATAGACCTCCATTATTTGAATGTCAGCAGACAGCAAGAAGCCTCCCAGATCTCCAGATGCATTTGAGATATCAGAAAAGTACTCCAGAGTGTTGTTCAGCATGGGGGTGAGTAGAAAATGAAGGCTAATCATGTTTTGGGTGTACTATTCCTTTAAAAAAAAAGAACCACTGTAGGTGAGATAATAAGTGCTAATAAACTTTAACCAGAGCCTCAATTTATAAAAATCTGTATTTTTTTTATAAACAAAAAAGGACACTCGAAAACAGCAAAAAAGTGATTTTTCTTCTTTTTTTTTTTTGTATTTGTTGTGGCCCAGCTTTGATGACACAAAACAAGTGGAAATCCAAAAAGGCCACAGATGCACCATGGATTGATTTTACCCAGGCAAAAGAAAAAATGTTCCAGGTAAACTCCTTTTGTTTTCTCAGTTTATTTTCTCTTCATGCAAGCACACAGAAAAGGACAAATATTTCCTCAAAGTTTCTCTTGCGCTGGTAAAAGAAAGAAAAAACAACATACGCCCACCCAGATGCATGCTGGTACGGAAGAGGATTAGGGCCACTAAAAAAAAAAAAAAGAAAAAAAGAAAAAAAAGGTTAACTGATTTTTTTATTTTATTTCAGTTTACTATGGGAAAAAAGTCAGAATTCTGACTTTTTTTTTGTCAGAATTATGACTTTAATCTCAGAATTCTGACTTTTTTCCCATATTAACCTGAAATAAAATTTAACAATCAGTTAACTTCTTCTTTTTTTTTTTTTTTTTATTCAGTGGCCCTAATCATCTTCCGTATGCTGGTTCCTACCATTGACAGCCTATTTATAAAAATAATTCACCCAAATTAATCATAACTAACCAAAAACAAAGGAACATGACTAAATAACCAAAAACCATTATCTCATAACAGATACCAAACAATAAAGTAAAATAAATTTAGCTAGATTATGCACAAAAACAAAAAATTTTGTTAATTTTTAACAAAAAAATAATTGTCTCCTACAGAAATCTTAGGTTTTCAGTTCACTGCTGTGCTTTAATGTATATTACTGGAAATGTGTTTACTCTAAAAAAAAGCAAAACACAAATATAGAAACTATGCTGGGCCAAAGTGAATTATTTTAACACATTTTTTTTTTTTTTTACGAATCCGCTATCCTTGTCTTCCAGCAGGGGGCAGCACTCGTCAACAGCTCCTAGTTTTACACCGGAAATGAGTCGATGTAGTTCCGGGTTTATGCTGACGCGTCCGTCTTCCTCTCGCTCACCGACGTGTCAGTCCTCTCCTGTCCGCTTCAGAGTAACGCACAGATTATTTCAGCTAGAAAAATGCCCCCCAAAGGCAGCAACAAGCAGCAGTCCGAAGAGGACCTTCTACTGCAGGACTTCAGCAGAAACCTGTCGGCAAAGTCAACGGCTTTGTTTTACGGAAATGCTCTCATCGTCTCAGCCATCCCTATCTGTGAGTAGCCCAGCAACTGCTAACTGTTTAAGCTAACTTTGGGTCTTGGAAGGATTGGAAAAGTCATGTCACGTTTTATATTAAAGAATATTAACTCAGAAATCAATATTAGTTCAAAATGAACAGTAGATTGATGAAATGGCATCACGAAGAACAATGAACAGAATAGACAGACTAGGGAAAAGTAAAAAGCAGTTTTTAGGTTGTTCTTGGAGCATTCTTTAACTCACCTTTTAAACTTAGTGTTGCACGACTATAAACTACTAAGATTAGCTGACAGGTTCAATTCAGTTTATTTCTATAGCGCCAATTCACAATACATGTAATCTCAAGGCACTTTACAGTTCACCAGATCATCCAGTCACATGGATTCAAAGTTTTCCATCTAAGGAAAACCAGTTTATTGCATCAACTCATTGACTCGAATGCAATCCCTCACACTAAGCATGCTTGTAGCCACAGTGGAGAGGAAAAACTCCCTTTTAACAGGAAGAAACCTCCAGCGGAACCAGGCTCAGTGTGAGCGGCCATCTGTTGAGGCCAACTGGGGTTCAAGGAGACAGAAGCAGAGATAGAAAAAGCAACTGTAAAAGGCAGCGCCGTCTAGAAAACACACAGCCAGGCAGACGAGCTCCGAGCCAGCTCCCATGTCAGAGGATGAAGAGAGCACATCCAGCCAGTCACAGTCAGAGAAACAGGACTACACTGGAAAACAGGCCGATCTCCAACATCAACAGGTTAATGAAAACATTGATCAAAGCAGCTTAGTGAACCACAGTAACTCTGGAGGAGCTACAAACATCAACAGCTCAGGTTGAAGAATGTGATGAGAAGACATCAATCAAAGCTGCGTTTAAGGGAAGATGTTAAGAGATAACGGGTACGGGATACATCGGACCCATAAAAGAGATGCTCTGACCAGATGAGTGTTTTTGCTCTACATTTAGTGTTTAGATCTGAGAGGAAGATGTGTTGAACTGTTAGATGTTGCAAAAGGCTTTAAGTTCACAATCCAGTGATGCAAATGTCCAAACATGCAGCCAGTTTTACATTGGAGGTTTTAGATGAAAACATATTGATGTGTAAGAATAGCACAGTAAGCCCAGACCTAAATCCAATCAAAGCATTAAAAGATATTCAGAAACTCCCATCCAACCCAAATAAGCTGAATGTTGTTTGTTTAAACTTTTACATAAATAAAGCGCTTTGAACTTCTGAAATATCACTTGATGATTTATGTGTAAAGTTCTGCCTAAACTTTTCATGCAGCTGGAGATGATTTGAGGAAGCAGCGACTTTTAATTGGATGATTTCCATGATTCAATATTGAAATTTGGGTTTGGTGTCAATGCAATTTTTGCAGACTTTAAACTAATTGTAACGTGTGATCTGTGATATAAAACTATATTCTATATTTTTTCTTCCTATCCTCACAGGGTTGTTTTGGAGGATCTGGCACATGGACCTTGTCCAGTCTGCGGTTCTGTATGCAGTGATGACTCTGGTTAGCACATACCTGGTGGCTTTCGCCTACAAGAACGTCAAGTTTGTGCTCAAACACAAGTAAGAAGGATAATCAGAAGCTCTCATTGAGATCATGTCGACGATTAAGGGAAATGTTGAAAGCTCATATGCTATTTATGATCGACTTGTTTTTATTGGCTAATTAAATCTGGTCTAAAGCACAGTTTGGAGTGGAGTTAACACTCCTTTGTTCTACAGAGTCGCCCAGAAACGTGAGGATGCCGTTTCTAAGGAGGTAACCAGGAAGCTGTCTGAAGCAGACAACCGCAAGATGTCACGCAAAGAGAAAGATGAGAGGTGAAATTACTTTTTTTTTTTTTTTTTATTAATAAAATTATACTGAATATTGTGGGTTTTTTTTAAACAACTTAAACTAAATTAATATCTAAACAACACTAGTGAAACTATCATTCACTGTTGTTTTTTTTTTCCTCCAGGATCCTGTGGAAGAAGAACGAGGTGGCTGACTATGAAGCCACCACCTTCTCCATCTTTTATAACAACACCCTCTTCCTGGTGCTCGTCATCGTCGCTTCCTTCTTCTTGCTCAAGAACTTCAACCCAACTGTGTATCCTTTCAAGTTTCAGCATTTATTACGAGATATCTGATGATCCGAAGTAAAAATAATGCAAAACATTTTTAACAGTTAGTTTGCTTAACAAAAATAAATTCTCTTTAGGTTGTTTTGAACAGAAATTTTATTGATCAAACATCTGCTCTTGCATCGTTTGTGAAGCATGAGGGTAGTTATAATCAGAACATTTTGTTGTTTGGAAAAGATGGATTTATTTCTCCTTAACCCAATGTTTCCCAGCAACTACATTCTGTCCATCAGTGCCTCCTCGGGACTCATTGCTCTTCTGTCCACCGGATCGAAGTAAACCAAGAATAGATCGGCAGGAAGTCAAGGGGTTGATGTTTAATATGGGGGGGTGGGGGGTTAGGAAGTAGAAAAGGACAAAGGATCAACATTTTCTGTTGTGGTTTAAAAAGATTCAGAATACCACATTTCACTTTCACAAAATTGTTTGTTTTTTGTAACAAATAAAGCAACCAGCTTTACCTGTTTGTCTTCCTTCCCTTTGTTCAGACCAGTTTAATAACTCTTATTGGGAAAAGCACAGAGCAGTTGCAACCAGCTCCCTAAAAGCAGTTTTTACTGCGTTACCCCGATGCTACAGAGGAAAAGACTTGGAGATGAGCTTTGAGAGGCAATCGTTGCGGTCTATTCATCTAACAAGAGTTCAGTGGTGATTCTCTCCAATCTGAACTATCAGGCAGTTGATAGTTATCAAGATTGCAGGCCGCTCAGTGATTTCAGCTAAAGGGCAGATACTGCAATCTATGGATAAATTGCAAAAACACCTGAAATATAGCCCACCGTTCACCCCCGTATGTTAAAGGTGTAGTGAAGGATTTTTCCGATCATCTAAATAAGTGGTCCTCCCAACTGTCAATCATTCTGGTGATATGTTTACGTACGGCCGCCCTACGTCGTCCCCAGCTTGCTATCTTTTTCTGCTCATGTACACTTTCAGGTGTAGATGTGTGAGCTACTTTTTCAGCCAATTATTGAAGCTAACCTTTTTCACGCGGTTCTTTGAAAATGCCACAGGGTCGTAAGAAAGTGTCTACAAAGTGTATGAGAAGCAAAGAAAGGCCTCAGAAGCACAGGCGTGACTTTCTGAAGGACTGGTCCCCACTAATTATTTCAATACATAGACTTTGGCAATAGGGCAAGAATGTCTAAATTAGATTTTTCTGGTTTTGAAGGAGGATAAACACTAATGTATCTGAAAGGGAAAACATCCATCAATCAGTCCACATTTTTCTGGAGTGCTTCATGAATGGATGAAACTGAAATAGTGTACATACTAGGGAGGTATGATATATTGTTGTTGGCATCAGAATAGGCCGTTTTTTTATATATATATATATATACATTGTCTACCTATAAATATAATTATCAGTGTATTTTGGCTTTTTTGTGTTCTCAACAATAGGAAAGCATTCAATAAATGTTTGAGCTCATTTTTGGAAAATACAAACCTTTTTGAAAGCGTTTGTGTCGAGTAACTGTAGGTCCATCACCCACCACCCTAGGAGTGTCCCACCAACGTTCATCGCAAAGTTACACTCCTTTCATTGTTTGTATTCCTAAAGATCCATGGGAAAGATATCAAAACTAAAATAAAAGTATAGAAAACATCCATCGTACGTCCCTCTCCCCAGCCACTTGGGCAATCTGAAGGCGCTCCCAGGCCAGCCAAGAAACATAGTCCCTCCAGCGTGTCCCGGGTCTCCCCCTGGGCCTCCTCCCGGTGGGACGTGCCTGGAACGTGTGTGTGTGTATAGAAAACATAGCTTTCCTAAATATGCATAAAGTCCAGGCCTGAGCCACGTTAGAGAGCAAGTCATTCAACAAATCCTGAAGTTTGTTTCACCAAAGCTTCAATTATTCATATATGACAGTAATGGAAACTTTACTTTTGCTATGACTGTTACACCCTGTTCAACATATCAAGCAAAGACCATGTTTTCATTGGCAATGCATGTATTTATTATCACACATTCGTAGGATATTTACAGAGAGAGCACTCCTCAGCAAAGAGACATTACACGGATGTTTGGAACGTCACACATAAAAAAAAATATTCTAGACGTTTAGGTTTGACATTTAAATATAGAAACAGAAGGAAGGTAGAAAACAATGGGGGTTGTTTGTGTCATATTTCACTAAAAAATAGATTTTTGGATCAGTGACTTTTTTTATTTTAAACCTGTGTTTGGATCTTATTGCATAGCAGCTAATTAATATTTTTTCTCTTTCAGGCAACAGGTGTTAGGTCTACCTGTTATCTTACCGGCATTATCTATTCATTTTTTTTTTTTTTTTTTGTATGGCTTTTTAGTCCAAAATAGTTTGCTGCAGTCTTTGGGGCAGAGTGGTTCAGAAACACAAACATACTCCGCATCCAGTAATTGGTAAAAGATGTATTTCCCCATTTTTTTCCATAAACGATCCACCTTCATTTGCAGGAACTCCTTCTATTTTCCAAAGAGCTCAGAAACAAAAAATATTCCCACTGAACTGGAATCAAAAAGGCAGGCTACTATTTACTGTCATGTTAAAAAATAAGCTAAAGTAGAACATTAGTTTTTACTTATGAATACAGCTTTGATTCTCAAGATTCTGTTCTGACGTTTTTCTGATGATTTATACTATTTAAAAATTTAAATGCCTCTATACTAGTATGGAAAGACATCCCTGAACATATTTCCTCATTAAGACACTGTTTGGCCATACCAGGGGTCTGCAACCATTAGAGACAATTATATATATATATATATATATATATATATATATATATATATATATATATATATATATATATATATATATATATATAGGTTTTTTTTAAGTGCAAGATAGATTTTTTTTTTTTTAAGCACAACTTTTTTTCCTATTCTATTTTAAACTAAAGCAAAATAAAACTTGTGCTGATATAGGGTGGCTGCATTTCATTTTATAGGATATTTTTTTGTAAAAAAAGATGAAAATGAATAGTTTCCAGCCTAATTGCAAAAAAAAAGGAAACCTATTGATAGGACTGTAGGTGTCATTCTAATGTTAAAACTTAATATATTCACTAAGACATATCTGGAGGTATAAACAATAGGTTGATCCTTTTAACTTTTAAGTAGAGTTATGAAATAGGAAGGTCCAAATGGCCACTATTGGCTCTGGGGCCACAGGTTGCAGACCCCTGCCATAGACTAACACAATGATGAGGGCTGCGACCTCAATTACATAACAACGGGCCTAACGTCTCTTTTGTTAATTTCTAATGATGCAGATTTTTCCCTTTGTGATCAACTGATCTTCAAACTTTCAAAAGATCTTATAATTTTTTTTCCTCTGACTTTAAGTCCCTGTATCTGAACAAGAGAGAACCAATTCTGCATTGCAAGCATAGGAGAATAAATTAATGTGAAAAGATCTAAACATTACCTTACCTTAGGAAAAACTGGTTGTTACCATCAGTTTTTTTCCTTTATTTTGTGTTTATTTTGTGTAATGACTTCATATGATTTGCTGCAGGTACTGTAGTAAAAATCTCTTGAGGCAGCAAAAATTGAATTAAATAAAAAATAATTAAATTGAGTCTGCCTCCTTGGAAGAAAATGTAAGGTGAAAATGGAACCCTGAAAATGTTTTCTCTGGTAACACACAAGCATGGTCTGTACGATTCTTCTAAAGTTTCCACAACACAGCACCCAGTGTTTTTCACAACCAAAACATTTTTTAAAACAGTAAAATTTAGCTGTTCTACAACAAGTAGGGGAGGGGTGGAGGTTAAATTCTCATCACTATATCAATTTCAGTGAGATCCCTTTAAAACGACTTCTAAACCACAGGAGCACTCTGACAACATTTTGAGAGATCATGAAAACGCTTTTCTTGTTTTTTATTTACTTGTACCATGAGTACAAATAACAGCTTTACCATAAAGCAATTAGCACAAAAAGCAATGTACCGTATTTTTTTTGTACTTTCTCAGCTTTTCTGTCCCTAAAACACCTTAGTTTTGAAACATATCCAAGGTCCAAGTCTTAGATGACTCAAAGTAAGCTGTGAGATAAAAACGGCCTTTTATTTGACTTCAGTGTAAAACCATTTTGGCAAGCACAGAAACGGCCACTGCAGAGATTTAGAGGCCAACTGTGCTGCACACCAAGGAAGGACATTAACTCCTCTGAAACACAGCCAACATCTCCACTGATCCCAAAGATAGCTTACTATTGAACTATTGGGAGTCAGAAAAAGAATGATGATAGTAGGAGCTTGGGGTGCAAGAGTAATGCATGTTACAGGCCAGTTCATAGTTAATGTTACATTAAGGAAACAATGGAAGTGACCTCTGCTCTTCCTATTGAGCTTAATGTCCCTCCAGAGATAAAAGCAAAGACTATATGTTTATCAAGTTACTCTGAGGGAGTAGGATTAAATTGATGCAACGTTTGCAGCAACACTGCAAGGAGAGCAATAAAATATCTCTATTTACATCTCATTTATAGAGTTGTCTTACAGTGCAGGAAAGCCCTCATATGCAAGACAGGCTTCTTGGTAGTTTGCTTATGTTGCAGGATAAGCTTTACACTTTTATATACATTTTACAACCTTGTACAAGCCATTCTTTTTACAATGTCAAAATATATTTTCAGATTTCATAAGCAGTTTATAACAAGTTTTTTTTTTTTTGTCTAATACATTGGGCTCATTACTAAGAATGTATTTTTTAACCCCTACCAAAAAAAATAACCAAAAGCGTTCAGCAATACAGTCAATGTTCTTTAATGCTGATTTGGCTTCCATAGAAAGGCTATCTCATCTATAACTTCAAACTGAGGAATCCACATTTTATTTAATGTCTCCTTATTTGTCAAGCATGGATGCAGTTTATTAACATTTCCACACGGGGGCGACATGCTTTACTTTTTGCCCTTTTCTAGCATGTCCAGTTTTTTTTTCTTTTTTTTTCTGGTACCACAGTCATCTTGCTTCGCCAGGGTCGCACAGCAGGTGAACTTGCAGCATTTCCCTCCAAAAACTAATCAAAAAGAGGAAAGAGGCACACTGTAGCAGAGAAACATGCATCTATTGGTTGCTATACTCCGGGATCTGCAGCCAGTTATGTCTACTCATTAATATTCTGTAAAATATTGGATTGATTATATTTAGAGGGCTTCAAAGATGACCCGAGCAGATGACTGTTGGTCTTATTTATATGCATAAAGCTTGGTTTTCAAGCGTTGGTGTGTCACTGTTGGTAAAGACTACCTTTCAAGAAGAGGGTAGGATCAGGCACCTCTGACAAAGGAGGTGAGAGTTTGAAGCACATATGGTCATTTATTTTGCCACGCTGTTTGGCATGTTAATAAAAGCAGTAAATAAAGAACTTGATCAGCATGCAGGTGAGGGCTCAACCTGTCCACTCATCTGAGGTCTGTCTAATTTGAATACATACGCTGCCTCTGTATCCTGCTGTGGAATATAAAGAAAGAACTTTTTTTCTGTTGTGCTTAAATTAGCTGTGAAAACAGGCCTGGATTAAGTAGGTTTTTGATTCAAGTACTTTATATGTCTTCAGATGAATAATCAAGGTGCTCTTAAAGATGGCACTTTGAATTGAAAGAGTTCTATAATGTAGAGTCTAATGCAAAATGAGTCGTAGTTGTGGACATGCTAAAGTTTTGACTTAAATTCATCTTTTCTAAAGCCGAATGTGTGTTTTAGCATGCTATTGGGTCTGAGCTACTCTAAGTTCTGCATAGTTGTATTAATGAAACCTCTTTACAAGCTTCCTGACCAGCAAAGACTCGAAGATCAGTGGAGGAAGGTTTAGATCTAGTAAGCTGCGTGTGAAGCTCTGGAAAGTCTGAGCTTTTCCCGGCTAAGCTGAACCGCACTTGAGATGAACCTCAGTATTAGAGAAGATCGAAGCAGAAGCCTCGACCAAGCATTGTTAAAGAATGCAATGCTCGGATGTAGCATGGTTATCCATTTCCGACTGGAGTGGTCTGTAGCTGGTTAGGCACATCCAAGGAGAGAACTTGTGGATCTGAACTCCAAACCAAAGCAGAGTTGAAGGTAGAGATGTAGTCAGGTAGTCTTCAGCAGACCTGTAGTTGGTCCATCAGTGCAGTCTAAGAGCGGTAGTCCTTCTTACTGTAAGGTCTGTTGCCAAGGATGTGGTCGATGTCTGACACAATGTGAGAGGTCATCTTAGGAAGGATCTGGATAGAACAGAGGGTCTTTACATGGGGGGGGTAAGCATTCCTAACAGCCTCTGTATTCTAAGTTTTCACCTACATAGCCGGACTAGAGTAAATAACTCATATAGCTTTATATTCATTCAATAAAAGTTGGCAAAAAAAAAAAAAAACACAAAGAACTGTAACTGTGAGAAACAAGGGATTTTGTCAAAAAAAAAGATCTGTAGGAGCTCTTTGAAATAGATCAGTGACCTGGATGCACATTCCTCCCAAAAAGTCCTGAACATGACGGATTATATCTGTGAAGATTCTCAGTCAAGCTTGTCAAGCTTGAAAAAGTTCAGTCTAAGCTACTGGATGTGATTTTTTTTCTAGAAGATGTTTCTCCTCTCATCCAAGAAGCTTTTTCAGTTCTAAATACGGGTGGGGAGCACTGAGATTAATATGCTGTACTGTAGGTCTAACAAAGCGTTAGCGGGAACTAAAGGTGGCTCTGATCTCTCCTACCAGATTGGCCATGGAGGTCACCTGGGGGGTGTTGATGGTTGTTAGGGGGTTCTGATGGCTCGTTAACTTCCTCGTCAGAGTGGTTTCGGTCACATGCCTCATTGAATTGTGAGTCAGGTGGGGGAGAGGTGAATCTTCTGGATATCCTAAAAGTGTTTTGTAGGTGGGTGAAAGGTTATATCTACCTCCTATGACCACCTCCTCTGTTGAGAAATGGTTTTTCTAGGTTAACAAAGATGGCTTCCTTAACCCCTCACTCAAACCATCTTTCTTCTTTTGCAAGTGTTAGGTTTATTCTTTATACATCATGTGCATTGTTATTTTGTTAGCCAGATTAGAAAGAGTAGAAGGCCTTCCTTCACATGGTTGATATCACTGTGTGTACGGAGGCCATCTAATCAGGACAGCCTTCGTGTCTTTAAAAATACACAGGATATGGGCACATCTTGGAGCCGGACTGATAAAGGAGAGCTATGTGTAATCCTGGGGTTAAAGAGGCAAGATGCATAAAGGTCAAGGCATGGATGGTGTGTCAGTTTCTGATACGGACAGTTAAGCATCCACATAATGCAACACATGGGTTCATGGGGTATAAGAATGACCTTGTCCGGGGCTCAATCTTGGCCCATGAGGGGGGAGTGTTTGCCTAGTGGTCAGACCATTGTGCTTGTCTTCTGAGAGGACTGCAAGTACCCGGTAAGATCCCCACAGCCTCCACTCTGGGTTCCTGAGCAAAACCCTTAACCCCACACTGCTCTCCGGGCATCACGTAATGACAGCCCACTGCTCGCCCAGGGCATGGGTCAAATTCAGAGGTACTCTGAATGTGAGATCAATAAAGTTCGACTACTATTATCGTTGGCCAATCCAGTGGGAGGGAACAAGACACCTTTTGTTTCCCCTAATTCTTTGTTACACCTACACTGTATTAATCTCAGTGCTACTCAAACATCTAGAAAACTTCATGTACAGTTGCCCAGACTGAACTTTTTCAAGCATGACGTATTATGTGTATCCAGTCAGACCAGTCGCTACAGTTTTTAAAGTACTTGTTGATGATAAAGAAAATTGTCCCCCAAAAAGTGCCAAAGCAGTAAAACAAAGCAATTCAAAATTCTGATAGATCACTTTAACATGGCATGGCATTAACCCTAAATGTTTATGATGACCCAGATGTATATGAACAAACACAGATGAAAGCAGGAAGGTGCGTGCCGCTACCTGAATGGCCCCGAGGTTCTCCGTAAGCTGCTCAGGGTTGGATGTTCCCAGAAGAACTGAACTCACTCCTTCGTTTCTTAAGCACCAGGCTGGAGGGAATCACAATAAAAACCTCCTTTGATCATTAATATACACTGAATATTTTTGTTTTGAATCAGTGAATTTGATAAAGAATCAGTTTTTCTGTTAAGTAGATGCAGCTATCTCAGGGGAGTTTGAAAGGGTGTAAAGGTGCTACTTAGGTGTTTTATCACCAGCTAGGTAAAACACATTTGATTGTTTCTTTAAAAGGTGACAGTCACAGTTGAGTTGCTGGTTCAGCAGCATCTGTCACTCATCCTTACCCACAGCCAGCTGAGGCAGAGTGCAGCCCAGCTTCTCTGCAATGTGGTTGAGCTCTTTCAGCTTGGCTTGCTGCTTCCTTCCATCTTCACTGACTATTTTTTCCTTCAGCCACTGATACGACTGGCGGGAGACACAAAACAGACAGACAGAATGAAAAATCAATAGAACAGGAAGTTATTTCCAGAGATGTAGAATAAAAAAAGACCACAGATAGGGTAAATAATTGTATCCAAAGGGAAAAGTGTCAAAGAAATATTTTTCACAGTTGCAAAACAACATATATGCATAGCTATTATTCCTTTAACCCTGCTTTACTGGAGACTTTTAAAGTAGAGAAGTTAAGTATAAAGAAAAATGCCCAAACACAGGGGAGTCATCAGGGAGCAAACACAAGGATCAGCATACTTCATAGCTGTTTTAACCAGAAGGTTCTACTTATATTTGAGCACAACATCAAAATATACCCATAGCTTCAACAGTTTCATTTGAAAAAGTTGTACGCTTTAGGCATCCATATAAAAAAGGCTTTAATGTCTAGTAATTTTTCAAATTCTCCCTGCTGCTCCAGCAAATGGTGTGCATGAGTTAAGGATCATTGCCCTGCAGAGTAGAGCAGAGCAGATGACCCCGGGGCTTACCTTCATTGAGGCCCTGGATGATTCAGGGATGCCATTTTCATATTTTCCTGTTATGATGCCACACGCTAGCGGTGACCAAGTCATCGCTCCAACTCCTGTGATGAAGGAAATCGAAATGGAACTTAAGCAGAAAGAGTTCTGGTAATAGACAGCTTGACAACAAAGTGTAAAAAGGGATGTGTGAGAGTGTTTTCTAAAATACTGGGTTGTAATCTTTATGCTGTCCTGTAGAGACTCTGATAGGGACAAAATATAAGCATATACACAACATTGAGTTGTTTTAACATAAACTCTGGGTTTCTGTAAAGACCAAGATTGATATTGGGGACAGAAACCCAAAACAAGGGATGACCTTTACAATTTTTCTTCATCTCATGCTGGAAAAAATAGATTGGGGTCCAGGTGCTGAATGAAAAATGAATAAAATGGTTTCTTTTTTATCATCAGTCTTATCAAGGATTGGTCAGCCTAACAAAAAGATGTTTATCATGCACATTACCATGAAAAATACTTGCCTATCTTATGGTAAAGTTCAGGCAGTTGCACCTCTACTTTCTCCCTCTGAAAGAGGTGATATTCTGCCTGTTCACACACCGGAGGAATCAAATTAAACTGCCGTGCCACAGAATATGCCTCCTGGAGAGGTGAGAGAAGGAAGAAGAGAGAAAACCGATGGTATTGGAATTGAAATATAATGTGATTTTTCATATATCGTTCACCTTTAATTAAGAGGGAAATTAAAACCAAAACAGGGATTTAGAAAAAAAATTGAAAATGTAATATATTTTTTTGCAACATAATGTACCTTAATGTGCAGCAGTCTGGGACATGTGCCTACAGCCTGATCATGTGGGCAGTAGGACATATATAGCAAACAGCTGCCTCATCACGTACACACCGACGCCCCTTTTTAACCCCCTTCATTACCGAGGCTTTCTAAATAACAGAGCTGTCATCGGGGCTCAAGTTATTCAAAGACATAAGCAGCGTTTTAGTGGGATCACAGGGAGAGAGGATGTGAACAGATTGCAGTGTGCATAGAGAGGGTGTGAAGGAGACAACTTGAGATGGGTGCCCTGTTCATCACTGGTTCTTCCTCCTCCCAATCTTAAATCTTCAGAGAAACACAGGATTGTCCTCCCCCTCTAATTACAATTTCCCTGCAGGGACATAATCAGCCTTTGTGGTCCAGGGTCGCTGGGTGTTTCATTTCCTGCAGCATCAAACTCCGTGAAATAAGGCTAACAGCTCCCTGAGTTCTGTCCTGTTACCTTTGGATTGTCTTTTTAAGATCAAAGCTGCATTGATAACTTTTCCGCAGCATCGCAGGTGAATTTTGGTGACTTTTTTTAATGAAATCCTCCGGTCCAGTAATGACTTTTGAATATTGTCAAAGATCTGAGTGCCGGATCCTTTGTTGCTCAGCTGGACCAAATATTGTAACGAAACAAGAACCACAGCATCCTTTTCCTCCCTGCTGAACAAGAGAAATAAAACCTACAACCTCAGCCAGTTGTAGTGTGTGCTTAAAATTTTAACTCAAGGCTGAATTACTGCTGCATCCAAATTATCTGCCAATCTTTGGGTAGAAAGTACTTCTGGTTACCTTTTTCTCCCCTTCCCATGATCTTTACCTGGATGGCTGCAAGAAAGGCTAGAACTATATCTCTGGCTGAATTTTTGATACAACTATCAAAAACTCATCCAAAGAGATGTTTTAACTCTCACAAAAAGAGCAACCATTCTAGTCTTAAATACTTATAACTATCAGGAGGACACGGTAATAGCGCACTGGGCCTCATGGCATGATGCCACGCTGGTAAACCCAGGCTCAAGCTTTTTATTGAGCCTTTGTTTTCTGATGTTTGGCTCTGCTTCTTAAAGTCACGTTGCTGACCTTTGCCAGGTGGTAAACAGGCTCCTCAATAATTGATCGGACTGGATTAGAAATCCCCTTCTGGGGAAAATTATCCTGTCTCTTTCTCCACTCCCCTCAGAGGTACGAACTGAGATGGAGAATGTGTTCTCCTATCAGGACCTAATGTGAGATCTCGTCGTTTGTGTGTGGCCATTAACATGTTGATTTGAATGCATCAGCCATCACACTTCCGAGTCAGCAGTTAATGGCCATAAAGGGACAGGAATTAGAAACATTAAGATTATACTTGTCAGTAATTCAATGAGTCATATATGTGAAACATATTTGATTGACATGTTTGCTGTCCTAAAACATGTTAATAAATAGAAATAGTTTACTAAAAATATCTATAAAAATGTAATTTTTTGCTGCTTTTCTTTCAAAAGAAGATCCAGAGTTCATTAAAAGCCAGGAAAGATAGTTCCAGTGTCACAGAGGTGTGGTTGAAAATGATCGGTCACCTAAAGCCTTAGCTTTGTGGGCGACAAAACTATCTGGTTCTGTTCACAGGATCTAAGATACCGGTACGTGCTAGAAATATATGGGTATAAAGGTTTTTTATCCCTAATGTTAATCCATTTAGCAAAAACCCTGATTTAATTTCATAGAAACCCCATCTGTGACATTTAAATATAGGTGTAATTGGCATAAAATGTTTTGCACTGGGCTAAAATAAACTGGCGGTTTTATGAAAGTCTCTAAAAAGGTTTAAGAAGAAGATCTGCTTACCATGATCTCCATGGCGGTCCACCGAGACGTCCCCCAGTACATGGTCATACCTTGGTTTATCACATAGGTCATAGCTCGAACTATTTCTGCAGGAAGAGCACATTTTAAATGAAATCAGTCAGCTGGATAAACAAATTGCTAACTTTATCTTTTAAATAAAAGGTGTGCAATTAAATTTTTTTCTTTAATACAGAAGAGGATAAAACAAAAAAGGCTTTTGATTTCTGACTGAAACTGATTATTCTCACAGAATCATATCGGCTTATAAGTATGCCTACTTTATTAAAGTGTTAAACCTGGGCTTTGCTGATAGAGTCCTATGTAGTTCACTTTTAATTCTGAGAATAAACTCAGAATAAAGTCATCATAATACTAACAATTTATTATTGTAAATAATACATTATTTTGCACTACCAACGTGTTGAACGTTTATAACCCTTTTAAATAGCACACAACTCAATGTTCTTCTGCATTTTGCACCACATTTATTTTGCACTGCACTAAATCTTTTTTCATATAATACCCTTTTGCAACTGGTTGCTTTTCTCCTATAGTGTTTAAATTCTGCTTCACTTTATAAATTGTAATGTTAACTGTTTCACTGTTGTAAACTGTGTGCAACTGAATTTTGTTTTTTATACACTCTGTGCACACAAAACGACCATAAAGTTGGTCTAAGTCTACGTCTAAGTCTAAATAGGGTAAACAATTTCGGTCCTTAGGACTAAAAAAAACATTAAATGGTCACCTAAATGAAGTCAGATCACAAAAGGAGAGAAGTAAGATTTCAAATTTTATCTATATCATAAATTTGGTTTGTTACTTTTATTCTCCAGAAACAAAAAACAGAAAAATACCATCAGCACATTTTTTTATTGTTACTTGCCTTCTAAGCAGGTGTCATATTCTTAATCAGCAAAAAACAAAACAAAAACAAAACAAGAGGAGCCGTGAGACGGAGCCAAACAGAGATTAATGAAACCCATGAAACAATGACAGAGGAGGCATTTTATCTGTGCAAGCTCCTCAATCTAGAATAAATGATTGAAAACAGAGCACAGTGACCATGAAAGGTCAAATCTGTGTAACAAGGAAGCCCCCAAGTTGAGAAAAAAACCCACTACCTGCATATGGTTCATCCCACACAGTAACAACCCAGGGGTTAACTAACAAGCTCACATACTCAAAGCCCCGGTGATCACATTCAATCTGCCGTGTTTTTAACGGAGCAATTAAAGCTCCAACATTGCTGACCCGGGCAAGCCTGAGGCAGTCTGAGCCAACAAAAACTCAAATTAGGGCTGTCATTATGGTTATTCATCATCACAATGCGCTCACTCCAATTATAACACCATCAGTCACTGTGGCCGGACTTTAGTTTTCTCACTTCACACAACTGGTTCTTGGCAAGACAGCAGATAATAGGGAGAAATAAAAACAAGAAGAGAAAAAAACAATAGCATAGGATTTTAGGAAAAAGTTTAAATCTCACTAGTCCAGACTTTGAGAAAAGCTTTTCTGTTTCTTCTTCTTTTACGAAGTGATAATTAACAGTCTGCCTTCCCAAACTGCATCCTGGCAAAGGAAAGAAGATGTTACAATAAAACAACAAGATGCCAATTTCTTTGTTCCTGCTGTTTGTTTCCAGCCCTCGCCCTGCCCTCCTGACATTTTCTCTTTGTTTGCAACCATGCTGGGCCTGCATTTAAATTCAGCCTGCCACGATTTCCGGATGATGTAGGAGGAGGGACTGCAAAGCGAGTTTGGAAAGCAGGACAACAGCTCTGATGTTTGTGGGAGGAAGTAACCGGTGGGAGTTCATAGTGGGGGAAATAAAAGCAATCAATAAGAAGGCTGGAGATAAGAAAGGGAGAAGTCTTTGTTGTTGTTCAGAACCACAGCTCACTCTGAGAAACAACAAAAAGAAAACAAGGTTTGCACAATCAGGTGTGTCGACCAAACGCTATCAATTTCCAGCAGGGTTTCAGATTAATTTAATACTATTCATCATGTCTAAAAACCACCACATGAGAGTAAATACACCCTTTCACATCTGCTTTGATGCACTTAGAGGTAGAAATGGAACAAACGAAAGGTCGGGTTCAATTAATCAGCAAGTGATAAGTTTGTTCTGAAAGCTGATGTCACACTTGTGCTTTTTGTTAACATTCATCCAAAAAGACATTTTTTCTAACTGTTAATAGGCACATTTTGTGGGTTTTCATATTGAAGTTAAGGGTCAAGAGTGTAAAATATAGTTTATTTGTTTTTTCATAAATAAGGATAATCCGACAATCTGGGAAAGAAGTGTAAATGTGCTACAGCAGGGGAAACCAAAGCTGTGACTGTTGGCACCAAGGGGCCCTCAAGGACCATATGGGGCCCTCACTGTCTTCTGAAAACAGACCAGAGCTTGCCAGTTTGAAATGTGATTTTATTCTGCTGTTCTTAGAGCATTTAATCATATTAATCATATAGAGCTTTTAAGTATTTATAGAGATTCTAAATTGATATTTAAAGAAAATTAGAAGAAACAGTAGAAATCTGTTTTTATGCATAAAGTTTAGGTGAACGTATTGGTAGCCCTTCTTATGACTCAGTACCCCTTAAGTAGCCCTCAGTCTTAAAAAAGTTGGTGACCTCTGCTCTACAGTCTAAAGACGCCCCCTTGTGGTCACTTAATTCATATCTAAATCTGGAAGTGATTGATTGACCCTCAAAGCAGTAAGGAGGTCTGGATTTTTAAAATGAACATCAAATGCTTCAGCTTTGTTAACATTATTGTTCCCATAAATGTGGAAACAGTGATTACAAAAAACAAGCAAAATAATTCCTTCTTAGGCTGAGATTGTAAAACGTTTAAAATGGAGGAAGGAGTCATGTTAGCAGGTAAATGTAATCATCTCTCACATATCTAGTTCACCAAGCAGTAGCACATGACTTCATGATCAAGTTATAGATCCATGATTTTATATATTTATTTGTCCTCTTCTTATTTAGAGCTTAAAATTAGACAAGTGTGTTAAAGGTGTATGAGGTAAATCTCTGCTTCTGTCTGTAGGTAAAAGTTTTAACTCTCACACCTAATTAATTGTCGTTCCCAATATATATGCTTCAAATCAGAAAGTTTATTTTCTCATCTCTCTGAATAATAAATTCAGATTTCATTAGTCTGCTAAAGGAGTTTGGATTTCTTCCACATCAAAGCCGTGCTAATAATGTGTGTAAACTTGGTGTGCTGACCTGCCATAGAAATGCTATTTTCATGAAATGACTGAATACAAACATCTGCATTTGAGTTTAAGAACCCAATCTTAGTTAGGGTAAACAGATTTTCTGCAACCATTTTGTCGGGAATCCTTGATGTCCTGTTTTCCTCTTCTATGAATACGATGTGACAAATAATTTCCTGGTGGATCTGGCACTGAACACAGAACGAATGAATATGAAAACACCTCATGGCAATTGTTAAGTATGGTGGAGGTCCTGTAGTCCTGTGGGCATTGTTCACTACTAATGAGCCTGGGAATTTGTAAGAGTGAGTGTAAAAAAATAAAATAAAATAAAATAAAAAAAGTTAGAACTGTAATATACAGTCATATGTTAAAATTACTTTTTTTTATATATCTATTTATTACTGTTTTCAAGGCCGCACTTCAAAAATAAAATTGTATAGAGCTGTTTTAAACGAAATTTATTTTTGTATACACAAAATAACCTGTCTAAAAAAATTGTAAGGGTGAGTGGACTCATGGAGAGCATCTTAGATTAAAAACCGCTGAAATATACCAGTAAATTAAATGTAGATTGACTTTGTGCCCTTCAGCAGCAGTTGATATAAAGTCTGCTGACAAATCATCACCTAAACTTTTTCAAATGAGAAATGGCAACCTCAGTCCCCAGACCTAAACCCTTTAGACAACATGCACTTTGAATATGAGAATAGACGAGACTGAAGGATCTATGGAGGCTGTACAAAGCGGGATGATCCAAGATTCCTCCCTCTGTACGCTCCAACCATGTGAAATAAGATGTATGTTAAAATGAATAATCTTTTTTGATACTGAACAACAAAAATACTTTGTCTTTTTGGAAAATAACAAAGTATAGCTGTATAAAAAATTTGAAAAAAGAATCTCAGATTTCTTCTTGCTTTCCCAAGTATAGAAACAACAGTTTGTATACTTTTCCATAAAAAAAACACAATAAACTTTCTATAAAAATATGACTTTTAAAAACTTTTCATTGCTTATTCTTTATGCAATGCAGAACATTGCATCTGTTTACCAGTTTAATTGGAACACTATGACCAGCAGACATTTTTATAGCTACAGTTTATTAAGACGTGAGGGCGATCACTCCCTGCAAAGCAAAAGAAGTGAAGTTCCTCAGTGTTTCATATTAAAACAGATTTTTATGATTTCGTTGGTTTCAGGGTTGGTTAGATGAATATTGATAAGATGACTCACCCTCCATGGGAGTATTGCTGTCTGGACGGTTGGCAAAAACTACATCTACATATTCCAACTGCATCCTTTGTAGTGAGCCTTTCAGACCTGAGAGACAGATGAAAAATTCAACTGAATGGTGGATATTATAAGTAAAGTTAGTGAAACATTTTCCAATTTTAGCTTACATGGAAATTAAAATTCAGAAATTTAAATGTCACCTTCAATAATGTGTTTCCTGGACAATCCTCTTTCTGTCTCGGCTCTGATGAATCAAAAAGACAAAAAAATACAAACAATCTGAATCAGTTTCAGCCTTAATTTAGGTTTAATTTCAGCAGAGTCATTTTTGTGCTGAAAAAGGTTTAATATTTTCCTAAAACTTGTCAATCATATGGCTGACTCAGAGCAGAAGCAAATGAAATGTAAATTCCAGGATGTTTTATGTAAATGGATTAGTGTGCATTAAACATCATACGGCATCCTGGCTGCACAGGAATAGATGGAGGCTTGAATCTTTCCCGCAGGAATGTTTTTTTTTTTAAATTCTCTAAAGCAACTTTTTGTTTTTTTAGTAAAAAAGTTTTTACTGCTTATTATCAAACCCAGTAGGACAGGGTCTTCCTCACAGCTTAAAAAAAACTTTTTCTGATTGTTAGTGTTTGTTTAATTTTGAGTGTTATAAAGCAGATGTTTTTAAATCTGTCAGAAAACTTAAGGTTATATTAAAAAGCTAAAATAATTCCTTACTGTTCCTTAAAGAATCTATTAAAACAAGATGACCTGATCACCATTTTTTTAAAATAATTTGTATTAACTTACAGACTAATTTCCCTATGTTTAAAACTGTTTTTGTCAAATATTTGTCTTATAAATTTCCAGTTGAGATAACTTAAAATAAACATTGCATTGAATTACCAGCATAGCTAATGCTGTACGGCCTCTAATGTGATGTAACAGAGCATGAGCTTGTGTCAGATTCTTACAATGACTACGAGTTATAGTGACTCAACCTGTTTCCTCATTTTGAAAAAAACATTTAAAACCTTATTATAAAACTATAACAAAATAGAAACACAACAAATATCAAGTCTTACTGCAGAAATAACACAAATGATGTATTCCTGTCATAATAAAGCAAAGTTTTTGTTAAATCATATTATAATTTTGATCCATTTACATACAAAATAGATAAACAAGTGCTATCCTTCTGTCGATAATAAATCTTTTTTTTTTTTTTATACCCCATTGCTACCGTTTTGGTACCAGGTTGGTAAACAGTCTGAGAATTATTCAGAGACATTTAACAGGTACAAAATGTGTTTTCGTACTTACTTTCCTCCCCAGTAAAGCTTAGTTGTGATCACCAAGCTTGACCGCCTGAAATTACGAAGAAGAGAGGAACAGAATGACCTGGTGAGCGACACAAATTGCACTAAAGTGATTCAGTGTGTTCTTTATCCAGACAAAAGGGACTCTCATGCAGTTTTTCCACAGGGCGGTAAGTGATTGGAGAGATGACTTGTACAACATCAGAAACATATGTTGCTAACTATCCATCAGTGTGGGATTTTAGAGAAAATATCATCCATATCTAGTGTTTATGTGAATGAGAAATGAGTCCCTTTTGTTGTAGGTTTTTCATCCTTTTTTTTTTACATTAACTACCTTTCTGAAAGCCTTAAAATTCAAAAGCAGACCTTTTTCTTTGTATTTTCAAACACATTTCAAAATGAACTGAGTGGCAAAATCTCCTTATGCCTTTAAAACAGCAGTTTTTTGTTGTTGTTTGTAAATATCCAAAGTGAGGGAAAAAAATTTCCAGGAATCTGGAGCTCATAACAAGAGATGAATGTCAAAAAAAATCTAGAAGACTTGCAGTTTAGCTTTTCAGCAATCACCTTGATGGTTCGACTGCTTCACTGCCAGTCAGGGGCTTCCCATTAATTATAGAAAACGAGTAAAAAAAATTTGTCTTATGAAAAACAAACAAAAGTTTTTTTTCCCCTTCGCTTTCTATACAGCATCACATTTATAATGCAGTCATTTCTGTATTGATCCTAATATTAAAGGACAGACGCCTTTGTCACATGGGACAAATCAATATATGGCTGCACCTTCTCATTGCATTATTGACATAAACATCACACTAGTGGATAATGGCCTTACTCAGCTGCTTGTTCTTTCCTGCACCACTAAATTTCCTCTCTGCACATTCATGAGAACACTCATTCTGAAATGTCAGGTTCAGTGAGTCTTAACTGTAGCAGCATCAAAACGCCCACTGGTGTAATGCTGTCAGCCCAGTACGTGACACCACTGTGAGCATCATAATGATGGAGCTAAATCACAACAAAGCAGTGGTAGCTAAATGTTCCCATATGCACTGCAGTTTTTGCAGTAAACGCTACTATTTAATAATATCTCAAACACCGTGAAAAATATAAATCTGCTCATAAATCCGTAATTATTTGCTGTTGTACAATATGAAAGGATCTACTGTATAATAAGTCAGCATCTTTTTGAATGAAGATTACATTAAATGAGGCGGTGATCCCAAATGTTCCATTTGTCATTGTCAGTGTATAAACATGTAAAACTTGTCACTTTCCAGTCTATTACAGAAGAGATCATTAATAAAAATAACCAGGGATACTTTAGTAACTCCCTAAAATGAATATTTGAAATTGCAAGTAAATGCCTGCAGGCAAACGCTGATAGAGTGAATGTTTTATGCTGCAGTTCTGTGATATGTGTGCCTATGCACGTGTGAACAGGAGAGCATAAAGCAGATATACGATTTAACCTTGAATCACAAAACAAAGACTGCAAATATCAAGCTATGTTTCACATCCAGGCTGATGCAAAGCTGTACGTTGGTGCGTCACAGGTGAAACTTCTCGATATGTATCTCCATTACATTCCAAGATGCTAACTCAATCTGACACGTTAATGTCTTCATTACCTCCAGCATTTCTTCTTGATGATGCTTCCCAGAATGATTTCGGCCCTGCAAGGCAACACAAATGAGGTGGATCTATTAAACTCCATTTTAAAGTCAGACACAGACACTAGAAAAGCATCGCGACGTTACAAGTCTCTGCAGTTTAATGGAACAGGGTGGTGTATATACCATCATGGTCATAAAAGGGTAATTAATGATGTCCACTGTTTCTCATAACTTACAAAAGAAATTCTCCCTAATGCTCAAACATCAATAGTTTTATTTGGGATTTTATGTGACCAAAATACTTTGGTTCAAGGTTATAAAATCAAAATAAAAAGATCCTTATTTGTTTTTCCAAAAATAAATATCAAAAGTGGCAGGCTTTTTTTATGGGTGTGTCAACCTACTTTCAACATTCAGAGGCTAAAATATTTGATTTCAGTAGTTAACTTTATCTTCATCAGACTAAACGAATATCTTATGGGAAAGTCAATTTCCAATCATTACAAAAGATTCTCCATTTGATTTAGTTTTGAGCTCAAACTGGTTATTAAACTGGTTATTGGATCACAATAGTTCTTTTCTTCCAGAAATGTCCTGTTTTATTTCCATCAAGCATTCCCACAGAATGATGCAGCCGCCACTGTGTTTTACTTTGGAAAGTTGAGTCAGGAAGTATAACTTTGCTCCTAACATAGGAGCACCTTCTTTAACTTATTTATGTCTTTTTTTTTTTTTTTTTTTTTTACATATGCTTCCTTCATGTCCTTTTTCATCCATGTACACATTTACCAAACACTTCTGATGTACTTTGTTGTTCTGACTGATTTACAATCCCAAATAAAATTTATTGTAGAAAAAACACAACAGTGTATAAAAAAAAAAAAAGTGACCAATTGTTTTTTTTTTTTTATAATTGTTATCCATCTAAACTGCCTTAAATATAATAACCTTAAATATAAATATATTTCTTTGTTTCATTTAAATGTATTCCTTGGATCCTTTTTCTTTTTTGTTGTTTGTTTTTTTTTTAAAAATTATGCAGCATTTAAAGTATAAGAATTAAACTATAACAGGAAACCTAAAGAATATTGTAGACAGGATCAGATTATTCTACCTCTTAAATTTGCTTGAGTACAAGCATACCTTGTCTTTTTTAATGATATTATAAAACTTGCCCTTTTGTGTGAAACAACATGTCAGTATTGTATTTGAAACCTCTGTGCCAAATTCAAATGTAAAGATGCTATCCACAGTAAGACATCAGTATGTAAATGATTATTCCTTTAACCCCAATTTAATTCTTAAAACACCCACCTGCCGCCTGCATAAACCTCAGCTGTGTCAAACAAGTTGACTCCACTCTCATAGGCGATGGTCATTAGCTGCTCTGCAACCTGCAGACACGTCACGTCAAACACAGAAACACACGCAGAGAAAAAAAAAAGGTGATTCAAAAGTCTGTGTGGACAATTCATCAGTCAGGTTTAATATTTCAACATTTATTCACTTTTTGTTCAATAATTTGGATGTTTCTTCAAACAAGACGTCCAGAGCAGGAAATAAAACATTGATGGAAGAGTTGAAAAATAGGGCAGCCAATAAAAGCATGCAACAGCATATTTTATCTAAACATTATTAGTAATGCATTTTAGCTGGAAGGCTTCCTCAGAGCATGAATATTATCTAAAGTAATTCATTTATGTAACGTATTTTTACAACAGCGACCCTGAGTGCAAATGCAGAATATAGTAACAGAGCTTCACCTTCATAGCAACAACTGAACAATGCATGGTCTTTAACAGGAAATGATGATTTCAATTGGAAAAACTCACACAAAGAGAAAATACAATTAGGAGAAATTTATTGATACAATAACTTTGTCTTTGGCGCTCAGACCTTGGCAGAAAACATAGCGCTTAATTTTGATAGATATGCATGAACAGGAGCAAATAATAGGGCTGTTCTCCCCCCCAGGCCTGAAACTGGTGGTGGAGTGGAGATAGATGAAGTTGGTCAGTCTGTAGACTGCTGGTTAGCGAGACGGTATGCTGAGCTTTATGGGGAGATCCATTGGACTGCAGGAGCTGATACTAGGGCTTCACTCAGGGACCTGGAAGATCGAAGTCCAGTTGGATATCACAGGTTGAGAGAACCTGTCCATGATGAGCAAGCATTGAGCAACATTGGAGAGGAAAAACTCCCCGTTGGGAAGAAACCTCTGGCAGAAGCAGGCTCAACATGGCGGTCTTCTGCTGGATCGGTCCAAATGAGACAGGGAACGCAGTAAGGGTCCGAGAGGAATTACACTCTAATGAAGCTTTAGCTATGGTGGTGGAGGAGGGGCTGGAGGTGGGTTGAAACAGTGTCATCTGAATGAAGTCACAGCGCATCCGCCACCTGCGCACAGAAGCAGACTAGTGCGGATTGGAGGCCTTTTAAGATCAACTTTGGATGCTGACTGGCTTTCGTGGAGGTGTGGTTCAAAGCCGATTGGCGGTGTCGCAGGTAGATGTAGGAGAACAATGAGTTTCTTCAGATGAACGTCCGCCTAGGCTCCATTAATCAAAGTAAGATATAACATTGGTGTAAAACGTTCTTAGTGAGACTTGCTGTTTTGATTCTCTTTATCATATATGCTTCTTGGACAACTTGTGAAAGTTCAGCAAAGTAGCTTCTATTTTGTCATGGTCTATATAAAACTGTTAGAGTATGGAAATGGGATTTAGCCACATACCACAGCTTCTAAATTTCAAGTTAACATAATGGAGCAAGATTCGGTTTTAAGTTAAAACATCAGAAAACCTAAATTTTTAATTGATGTGAAAACACTGGACTTAGCTGTAACTGATCGATGATAACCAAATGTAGGAATGAAGCATTTAATCCTAGCAGCTGTACTGAATTTCCTTTTCAATTTTGCCTTCCAGAAGAATTGGTCCACCCCTTTGGTTCAATTTGCATCTTTTCTAAGCTATAACAAGGCCATTTTGGGCCACTCTATAAAGCCTGGAACTCAACGCAATGCAGAGATTTTGAATTGAAAAAGTTTCCTGGATGGGAAGCGGAACTTCTTCAAATTTGGAAAACAAAGCCCAGTGGTTTGTTTTTTAACTTTTTTGGAATGACTATGAGACCTAATATAATTATAATAGATGCTGTATTTACTGTGATTCATTATTTTATGTAAAGTAATTGACTCATTGTTCCTTATTTTAGACTTGCAAGGATAAATTTAAGGACATTTTAAAAACTGTGAGCACAAGTATAGCCTAATGGTAAAGTGACATTCATTTAAAGTTTTATTTTTCCACACTTTGCTTTGCCTTTAAAATCTTGATATGCAGACAAAAAGGTTAAGCACAAAAAAAGAAGAGTTCTTTTTGCTTATAAATGGTATGGAATATGATTTGGATAGGTAAAATCAATATTACAAAGTATTTATCTAAATTCTCATTTAAATCCTTTACTTCAAAAAACACTTAAGTTTCAGTCTATTCAAGCCTCGAAACGTTTTTTGTAAAAACATACATTTACAAAATCCGGATCTGTCCTAACCTAAATCAAGCAATCAAGGGCTTTATCAGTGGCATCAGGTGCGCTTGAGACAGACGACCCGAAGTACCCTTTTATCTATGTTAAGATTTCATCACATGTTAGAAAAAAGGTTTAATCGACAGAATTCTTTCAAAATCTTAAAGGAAAAATGTTGCAAAACCAAAGTAGTTTAAAGGGATCTGTTACTATCACATCTAGATTTGGCAGAAAGATGAAAGCTCAATCAGATTTTGAGCAAATCAGCATGATGGACACTGAAGCCAAAGTGGAAGTGCGTTAACGGTCGCCATGATTAGTGCTGCAGAATAGTTCTGGCAGTAAGGAAAGAAGTAGGAGGAGGAAGATTGATGTTTCCTATCAATTGCAGTTAGAATAGGAACATTCTGCCATTTCTATTCAGCGCTTATGTGCTATATGTATTCATACAACGCTTTGAAGCTGAAGAAGCTGATGCACTTGAGCTTTGGCTTAAGAGTCCTTACCTACTTGCTGTATTTGGATGTTCCTAAGTATCCTGTGTCGAAGAAGGTCATAACAGTAAAGAGTACTAGATGCTTGTCATAATGAGGCTGTGTATTTTTTTTCTTTAATTAGAAGGAACTATTTTTTATAATTTGTGTTAAACTGCTTTAATTGATCAGGTAAGAGGGTTTTTTTAAGCAAGCAGATGCTAGTTTGCAAATTTTTTAATAAATCACATTTGCAGTGGGGCCCTAAATCTTTTTCTTCTCTACAAAGTAAGGGCAGAGGATAGGTAGTCAAGGTTACAATGTGATGATATCATACAAATCTATAACCAGCATAAGGATTCATTATACATCTTTTTCCCATTCAGTATAACCATTTTTTCAAAGTCCATCCATATGCAAAAACTACATGAATATTAATGAAATTCTATTACTTTGAGAGAAAGTTAAGAAGCCATGGAGGAAAAAAAGACAAGGACCTAGAGAGCAGTATCCACATTTAAAAATGTCTCAGTAAAAGTCTCTGAACCCTGGGCAACTGTTAAAATGGAGCAGAATGAAAAGATACGTAATGCTCTCTTTACAAAGAGGGACTAGTTAAATGGAAAAGCATACAGGAAAGCAAGGGGAAGGAGAGAATGAACTGTTTGTTTTCCCTTCTGAGTGCAGATGAGAAGCACACTGCTGTGGGCACCAGAAGGGCATCATTAGTCCAGTGAAGGAACAACAGGCCCTTTTTCTAAGAAAAGGTCCAATATTTTAAAACTTAATGAGATGATAAAAGTTCAACACAAGAAACAAGAAGTAGGCAAGTCTGGAAGTTTTCCAACTTAGTTCTGGAACATTTTTTACACAAATTGATGTATAGGTTAAGCAGTCAGATAAATACATAAGCCAGGCCTTTTCACTCTTTCCAACATACAATGAGTCATTAAAGTTACAGAAACTTTAGGGTGACAACACCTTTCTTTTTTCACCACCTGGACTGCAAAGGTGGATAGAAAACAAAAGCTTGACAGATATGACAGCAAAGAAAGCCAACGTTTTTCCTCTATCATAACCCCAGATTTAAGGCTGCCACAGCCTCCCACATCCTACCCACACAGCCTCACAGAGGACTTTATAACTGCGCTGCTTTCGCTCCTCCAAACACCACACTGCTTTAGAATCAGAAACTGTAACACCGAGGCTTTCTATAACTCACTGTACAATTTATGGACCTGGCTTTGACCTTTTCAAATAAGTAAGCAGTGAAAACTTGCTTACCCACACACTCATGTCAGCTTTCTGTCTGGAAACCAGGTACATTAAAATAGAACCATCCTTAAATATGGACAAAGATCTCCAGCCTTGAATAGAAGCACCTTTTAAAACGGACCTTTAAGCTATGCATTTATTTCTATAAGCCGGTACACAGATGTTTGGGTGTAGAAGTTTGCCTGAAAGCTGTATGACATTGACATCCTAGTGGTTATCAAAAAGCTCTGCTGTCCTACTACCACAAATATAAACCTGAAGTTTGCTAAATCTTTAGACTATTACTAACCAATGTGCTTTGGTCAAAAGATTGGAAGTTTTAGGTTTATATTTAAATGTGTAACACCATGTAGAAGAGCATCCCATGTCTACTGTTAAATTTGGTGAAAGATTTACGATTCTGTGGGTCTGATTCACCTCCAAGTGCAACCTTGACAACATGTCCTCATTAAACATTGAAATGCAAGAAGATTTTCAACAAGAATCCATTTGCATCTGTTAGAAATCTTGAAATGGGTTATCATTTGGTTTCCTCACTGGGATAGTGATAACTTCCAGTCCTCCAAAACTACATCCTACTGAAACCATGTTGGGTTCAGTAGCAAAGAGGACAGTCAGACAGGAAGACTCTTGGTAATGATGGAATGAGTGCTATTCAATAAGCAAATGGATGTCGTATAACATATTTACAGCCAGTTTACTGATTAGTGTTCAAACTGTGTATTTCTTCTTTGTCCTCCCAGAAGAACTATAATGACATTAAAGGAACTATATTTATTTTTTTCAGAGATTAAGCCGCTGCAATAAAAGCTGAATTTATTTAAGGCTTGTTACACATCTGTACCAGGGGTGTCAATAAATCTAGTTGGCACTAAAGACAAATGAAGAAACTCCAGAATATTTTTTTTCCCCTGATGTGCTGAGAGCTTCAGCACTGGGTCAATCATTTCATATCCACTCTGAGCTAACAAGCTATTCCGTCGTAACTCTCTGATGTTAAATTCGCCTGAAGTGGCTGAGAAGTATCTGTGACATCAGTGTTGGCAGCGGAGACATGCAGAATAATTGGGTGAAAAAGGGTACAGCATTTCGTTTTGGAGGGCGGGGCCCCTCAGGTATGAAAAATAACTCTAGTGTGAGCCTTGTCTTTCTCTGTCCTCTGTGATCAGCTTTTCTGTATTTTCTGTCACTCTGTGTACTTTAGGATCTAATGACCCTGAAACCAAGCTCAAATAATATTAACGTTAATAGGTAAGAGTGTCTGTATCCCTATGTTCACATATAAACACATTAAATGTGTCTCTAAAAGCAAAGTAATGTTTGTTTTTCATACAGCAGCTTAAATTTGACTTTAAATACATGCATCCTCAATAAAAGAGGCTATGTTGTCTCGATCCAGAGGAATAATGATCACATATTCCCAAAGCTAACCATACAGCTATTAACCCTAAAAAAAATAAAAAGACACGAAGAATAATAGGCTGTAATCATAGAGAAAGCTTAACTCTAACAACAAGCTCTACTTGTCTAGAGGACAAAGGGAAGCATCATCTATAATTAAATACATTTTAGGAGATTTACAGACTTACGAATATGAGAAAAAAGCATCAACATAATTTAAGGGATCGTTTTAAAGTTTGTTTCAGTTTTTCAACATTTTAATATGAACTTTTCCATCTTTATTTTAATGTTAGAACAACATTCTTGCATAGCTGTGAACATCAGTCTAACCGAAGCGCCTTTTGATGCCATTCAGGTGTTCAGTCTTATTGAGTCCATCATTGCCATCAGCTATAGGGAATCCAATTAATATCAGTAATAATGGTGAAGTTTAGTCTGACATTAAATTATTATTTTTTTTTTGTTGCTTTAATTTTTGTCTGGTGGGATAACCAAAGTGATTCAAATTTGCTTATAGTAAAAAAAAAAAAAAAGAAGTTTGTATGATAGAATGTGTGTACCCGTTTTAGCTATTACAGTTGGCAATGCTGATCCGATTTTGATCAGCTAAACACACATTGAGCCCAACTTACAGAGAAGTAACCCGCTTTACTCTTTACAATGTTCCATATACAGTACGATTTTACTTTGAAGTCTACACACCAAATAGAAGACAGGAAATGCTAAGTGGTTGTTGGGGTCCTGACAGCTGCAAATAGCTTCAGTAGCAGTCAATCTGTTCGGTTTGATATTGAGATAGACTACATGCAAGAAGTGCTGGTCAAAAAATCTTATAAATAAGACAAACGCTTTAACAATGAAATGTCTATCTTTGAGGAGTGGCTCCTCAAAAATAGAAAAACCATGAATTGTTTGCTACTGTAGCCAGGGTCAAATATTCTCTGGAAACAAGTGCTGATGTATGAATGACAATAAAATGGAAGTGTCATGATCAGGGCTCTGACAACTGGCTTAATTATTTACTTCATTCACCTATCGAACTCTGCCTGGTTTCTAATCATTGCTCATCTGATCCACCTGCTCCTGCTTCTGTTTAAGGTGCTTGTATCCAGCTGTCATAGCCAGATTATTCTCATTCTGGTGTGCCAGTGGAGAGCAGGTTTTAAGCATGCCATAGTGTTTCTGATTTCCTGATCCGACCTGTTCTGCCTCTCAACCACTGAGCCTGACTGCTGTTCCTGTCTGAACTGTCTTCAGACTCCTGGAACTCTAAGCTTTTCTGCTCTGATCTGTTTGTCTGACCTGGCTTCGGACTCCTGCTTGTTATCTGTTCTCCAGAAACCGCCGCATCTTTTTGGTAGCCCACCGGCTGGATCTTACCTCATTCTCTGGACACGGGCTGAACTGTTAAACCAGTTTCCTGTAATAGACGCCCTAACTGCTTCTACTCAGATCATCTGGGTTTTAAATAAAAGCTTTTGAGTTATCAAACTGTCTGTCTTGACTTGAAAATGGGGCCCTCTCTTCTGAGTCTTCACAGGAAATCTATGGCTAAAATAACAAGTGTGATGTTTAGAGGAATAGCTTTGAAGTACAGAGAGGGAATCATTATGATTTGAAGGTGCAGGAGGGTCTGGCATTGCACTAGTTAAAAGGGCATCATGATGAAAGAAGGTTATGGGGAAGCAAACATCTCAACAAAATATAGCATAGGCAGGAATAAGTCTTTGAGTTGGATGATAATTTCCGGCATAGTGAGAAATTGGTTACTTATTAGCTTTAGGATTTAGGTTTTAGATTTGCCAGCAGAACTCTCAGCTCAATTAAACAAACAAACAAACAAAAACATATGTGAGCAAAGTAGCATCACAATTTTATTCTATTAAAAACATTTCTAGTCATCAGCAAACTGGAGAAGTGGAAGGAGACCCTCCCAAAAATAGGACCAAATATTTCAGCTTTCAAGACCGTTATAGGAAACACTTAGGACATTTATTTTAATTTCTAGATTTAAAGGAAAATGTTATATATATTCACTCATCAGAAAATAAGCAAACAGCAATAAGATAAGCAAACTGTTGTCCTGCTTAGTTTCACACTGTGCAAGTGTCATACCGAAGTTCAACCAAACATGAACAGGCGAATTATTAAAAAGTTACTCAGATCAAATGTTTAATTTTACACAGTTGGATTTTAGTTCTCATAGTAGTTTAATTATTGTCAGATTAAAGGTGGAAAAACATGTCAACAGATTATTATCATGTTTTTCTTTTTATAATTTCTCTTTATAACATTACTAAAAACCTGGCTTTCTAAAACAGAGGGCATCCTCTTTTGTTTCCTGATATCCTTTGAATAAAGTTTTTTTCTGTTTTTTATTAACTGCTTACATTTTTCTGCTCACTGTTAGCATTTTAAAATCCATCAGAACATCCTTAGAACCAGTTTTAACTATAAAAAAAAACAAAAAAACATTTGTCATACCTCGTCAGTTATCTGTCCTCCAAATGTGACCCATGTACCTGCAGGAGAGAAGGAAAGAGAGACTTTATCACCTGGGAATTTCATCATGGTTTCTCTGCTGTCAGTCCTTTTTTCAGTGCCTCTCTTTGTTTGTGTCTGGCATCCAGCTGTAAACACAACTAATCCCAACATTGTTACGCCAGGCGATGGAGGCTGTCAGGCTCCCAAGAGGAAAATCTGGCCTGTTCAGAGCTGCTGCTCGGTGGTGAGGGATCACCTGGTGTGAGTGCCCGTTAGTCACAGCACCTTTTTGGGTGACTGTTTCTGTTTGCTACTGCCATGCATATGTAGAAGGTCTTGTCTTCCCTGTTCTCATGTGCATTATTCTGACTATGTGTCAGTATGTGTGTGATGAGGGCAGATGTGAACAAAAGCCTCCCAATGGCCTTGCAGACATAGAGGAAAATCCAGACAAAAGGCCAAGCCTCCTTTCAGAGGAGACAGTAAATCCTCAGCGTATGGTTCCTTAGTGAATACATACCTGGAAGAAAATGCTTCCTATTCAGCTTGTGACAGAACACTTAACAGCGACCCTAAAGCTGTCTGAACCTCCTTACCAGAGGGGAACACATCCTGAATATGAAATATATGTTTTCCTTTTTAGTTTTATAGGAAAAAAGATCAAAGCCTGCATGATGAACTGCAAGGGTATTAATAGGAAATTAAACACTTGAAGAGGAGACTTAAATGAAAAGTGTAAGCATACACCATAATTTATCAAAGAGATAACTTTTTAGACGTTCGTGGATCCTTTTTTGTTCTAAAGAAAACTAGCCTTTTCTCCTTTTTGGCTTAGAAAAACAGATTTTCTGAGCCAAAGTTTTTCTTTTTAACTGCTTTTGAACAAATCTGTAAGAAATCAACTTCATCTTCAATTAAGCTTAAGAACTTTGGGGTATTTAAACTCTTTATGTGAAGTAATATTCTGCTTTTGGTTGTAAATAATTTTTAAACTGGTTTGCACAGCACAGCAGATAAATTCCCTGTTTTCTTGCAGCAAGAAGATCCTTGATTGCTCCAACTGGAGTTTACATCTCCTCCTCCTTATGCATCAGAGTCCAAAAACATGACTGTTAGATTAACTGGTCTTTCTTCATTGACCATTGTTATGAATGGGTGTATGTGTGTTAATCCATTGGTAAATCATCTCATCATCATTTACCTGCTCAGATTAAGGGCACATTTATTTTAAGAAATCTTTACTTGTTTTTAGATCATTTCATTGCAGTGCCTAACAACAAGGTAGAAATCCTCTTGAGGGTGGATGAAACAAAAACATTGAAGGTACATGAATACTTTAACAGGGCAATATATGTCAGAAAGAAAATCTGTATTAGCTTGTAATAGCGGCCTATTTCAAGGAAATAATTAACAGAGTTACTTCAGCTGTCAATGTCAACTGCTTACAAATGGTGTCAGCTGAAATGTGTAATTTAATTTAAAAGGTTGTACAAGTAGAAGAGGCTTTAATGTTTAGTTTTTCTCCCTCTAGGAATGCAACAATTAGGTGCTGGATTCTGTTGAATATTTACCTTTCAGATCTAATAGAATCACCTCTTCACTCAGTTTGATCCTCCTGCTGAATCTTTTATCTGCTGTCCTCATCATTAACCCAAATACAGAAGACCTTTACACAAAGAGCCTGTTCTTCTCTCACTTTGTTGACTTTAACTTCTTACCTTTTTATAAAAAAAAAAAAAGAAAACTGCGTACATCCTGTAGAGGAGATATAATGATATGGCTCATTATTCTGACACCCTAAAGACAGACTCGCTCCGTTGTGTCGTAATGTGTTCCTGCAATCTAATGAGGAGCAGAAAGTCTTGACGTGCATCACCAGCAAAACTGCAATCTTGTTCATCACGGTGGTGATGGTCGGCTGGCTGAAGCAATGTCAGCGCCTGAGGGAAAAGTCTCTTCAGGACATTGTTAATGCCTGTAACCATGGCAGCTTTGGTTATCCTCAAATGCAGCTTGAAGCAGAGCCATTACAGCTCAGCACCATAATATAGCAGGGCAGCTGCATCATACAGGATGCCACCTTTAAACAGTTTCCTTTCGCAGGTTTTTACATGTAAACTAGTGCCCAGTCATCCTCCTGGCTGATGCCAGAGTGGGGGAAATGTAACCACTGCTGATGGAGTCCAGTCACAGCTTTGGGCTCTCTGTTTGAGACTCAGCGTGGGATGACAAGCCTGCGGAGCTCTAATGTCAAGGCCACCACTCCTCTCAACCCTGGCTCTGGCTTCTGTTTGATGGAAGTTATAGCCCTATTTACATCAAGCTAAAGATAGAAAAATCTGGAGGTGTAGCTTGTTGTTGCTTCAGAGCCTAATTCAATTACCTTTTAGCATCTTAGCTGAAAGTGTGATGCATTCAACTAAGTGAAGCTTCAATTAAATTCTAGTAAGGACGTTGGGGAGTTGGTAATCATATTCACAGTCAAATCCTGCCTTGCTATAACCTCCCTTTACAGAGAATTACTTATAAACAAGTTAATCTAGCAGAAGGTCTAGTCTTTTGGCAAAACATGTTATCCTTTTAGTTAGTTTTACCCCAAAATGATACTATGGTCTTAAGTAACACATGCAATTACAGAAGTTTAAGGAACAAAACCTGATAATATGCCAGATTTTTTAAAGTATCTTACAAATAAATATCTAAAGGGGTTTAGGAAACTTTCTTATTTGTTCAGCACCCCTGGATCAAAACTTTATAGAGGTTTGTTTCATTACGTTTAAAGGAATGAGATTTTGTGGCTTTGTCTATAGACAGAGAGACGGACCCCAATCGTTCTTCAGGAGAAACTCAACCTTGGTCAGATTGAGAAGAGTGTCTGACTGATTGACTTTTTTGATTTCACAGTGGAGAAATTCACTCGTTACATCAACTCAAATAGTCAGAAAGAAGAACATGGTACCAAAAGGAGGAAGAAGGTGCATGGGGGTATATACAGTACATACAGTGCATCCGAATATGACAGTTGAAGTCATATTTTTATGCATCAAAGATTTCTCATTTGGCTGGAAATTCTGACTCTGGAAATGCTTTTATATGATACAGTCTGACCCAACAAGAAGGGTTGTTGAACTGCAGGAAGGTGACCCTCCCCACCATCATTCCAAGCCTTTGGAGCCTGTAAAGTCTGAGGATCGTGCTGCATTTACTTCCATATACAGTCCTGTTAACTCTGACTGGCTTCCATTTGAAATAAAGTATCCCCACATCATGATACTCTCAGCATTATGATTTTTATTTTTTTTTTTATTGGAAATGGTGTACTCAAGATTTGTGCCCCCCAAAATGCTCTACATATTGGCCTATTGGTTTGATTTAATCTCATCTGACCAGAGCATCTTTTGACCAATTTGTAATGACTTTCCTTTAATGATAGATTTAATTTATCCCTTGTTCATTAAGAGCAGATCTGTGGAAAGCATGGCTAATATCATACATGCAGAAAGGTCTCCAGTCTGCAGTGCGTATTTCTGCAGCTTCTTCAGTCATCCTGGACCTTTTGGTCATTACTTGGAAAAATGCTTTCAGTTCCTACTCTGTATATTTTTAACAAACCTCTTAAGCTTTTACGCTGCATTCGAACAGGTGGAGTTTATTGGGTGTCTTGTGAAGGCAGTTGCATTGAATCTTATTTGCAGGTTTCACTGAGTGCCCAAAATACATATGCACACTTTCATTTTCAGTCTTTAGCTAGAAAAGAGGTTTAGAAAATCTTTACTTCTATGTCACACTGTTATCCTTGTTGGTACTTATGTATTACTTAAAATCCCCAAAAAATACAATGATGTTTGAGGATGTAATGTGGTAAAATGGTTGCCAATATAGCTGTCCTGCAAATATGTAAATCATCATCATAGATTGTTTTTTCTTATTTCTGGTTTAATTTATGTTCTAAAACACCCTTTAAGACATCCAGACTGTTTCCTTGAATGTTTGTGAATTTTCAAACATTCAAACACAACTTTTTTTTTTTCTGCCGTACCCATGCTTGTCATGATTAATAGACGGACAGATTCAGCAGACAGATCTAATTTTAAAAATCTTTGTTAATCAAACCTGAGGTGATAAAAGTGCAGGAAGTTCAGCATGATAAAATAAAAAGCCCACAGGAGCAGGAAACATGGCTGACCGGAGAATCTGACAATAACTAATGAAGGCTATTTGTAATGCTAGAAGTGATAAAGTGAGTAGATGTGGGTGAGAGATTAGTCACAGGTGGTGAAGTGATGTATAGACAAGACTTAGGTTATAGGGGACATCCAGAAAGCAAGAGATCAGAAACAAACTAGATGGGAAAAGTTAAGCGTATGGGGGATTGAAACAAAATAGAGCAGAGTATATAAAAAACACAAAGTTATGAACAAAGCTTTCACAAAGTTAGTTTTGTTCTCGAAGGGTTTGAAACATAGTGCTAAAAAGTTCACATCCAGCATGTGAATTTCAGCCCGAAGATCTTTTTGTATCCCTTGCTCTGATAGACAGCAAACACCTATACACTTATTTTCAGTTCAGTTGCAGCTCTTTGTCCTTTCTGGGCTGTTCTTCAAGCCATATTGATTTCTTTATTTCTTTCTGCAGTTATATAATTTCTGTCTTTTCCACTCTATTTACTAAAAGGCTGTATGAAGATAGAGAGCAATGCACAGAAATAGGTTCCCTTTTTTTATATAAATTACATCTTTTATAACTAAAGGCAGCATCATAAGCCACAGACTGAAAACATAGGAGCATAATCAACAGCAGCTCGTGATCTTTACGTTCATAAAGGTTAGAAAAAAAGTCTTTACATTTATCCCTAGAACTGTAAAAAAAATGTTTTATGTTGTTTGATTTTAAAGCAGAGTTGGAAAAAATATAAATTAAACCTGCTGAATTTAGCTTCTAATCTTACTGTAGGTTTATTGTGTTCAACTATAAAAGGCTAATTAAAGAAGTTTAAGCAAATAACTCCTTATAACCAACTATCTGTTTGGATTGCCAT